AGAAGTGAGTGATCTGAGCAGTGACTGTTGAGGGTTAGAAGACTCCTTTCCTAGAAAAATGACAGAAATATCAGCAATGACAGAAACAGCAGAATAGATTGTTGGAGAAGGAAATGCTAACATTTGACACTCAGGAAATATCAGTTTTTAAATTTACTGTATTTGTGTCTGACTCTGTCTTTTCCAAGTGGAAGCCAAGATCTGTCATGTTTGTATCCATGTCCATGATTTAAATTTAGAGTGTTTAAGTTTTAAAAGCCTGGAGATCTTGAAATTTAGTATTTTGCAATTAAACTTACCATGTTAGCCCATGCTTGCAAACCAAATAAAAAAGATCTACTTCATAGTATATTGACACTGAAATGCAATGAAATTGTGTAAGGAATGTGAATCAATCTGCCTAAATATTTACTGCTTTAATGCACCCTGAATTTATGGGTGTGCATATTGAAAAGAGGTAATTATTTTAAATAGCACTTATGCGTTTTTAGCTAAAGAGGCTGTGAAATTACATTTCCTTAAATTATCACTAGGTTTGTTTGTATGGGTTGAGTATTACACACCACAGGCTGCCAGAGACCCGAGGCGGCTGTAAGGAAGCAAAGATGAGCCTTGTCTTTCCGTTCTGTTGTTGTGGGGAGGGGAAGGCAGGGTGGTGAATGTCACGCTGCCATGAATGCTTGATTGGAGAGTTCTGTGAGGTGGATTATTTGAATTTCAATGCCTCTAGCTCATGAAGATCATAGGCTGTACCACAGAAATGTACATTGGGAAGGACCGCTGGAGGTCCTCTAGTCCAACCTCCTGCTCAAAGCTTTGAAAGTCACCAAGGATGGAGATTCCACAGCCTCTCTTGAGCAACTTCTTCCTTTTATTATGAAGAATATTTCTTTTCAGCTAACTGGAGTTTCCTTTACTGCAGTTTCGGACTACTGCCTCCCATGCGTTCATGGCGCACCTCAGGTCTAGCTCTGCCAGCCCCCTTGAGGCAGCAGAAGACAACAGTTAGCTCTCCCCTTTTGCAAGCAGAAAAAAGTTGGTTCCTCCACTGGACTTTTTCATTTTGAATATATTTCTTGTGTTGCTTGTGGGGCCCAAAACTAGTCCTGGTATTCCAGATGTATCGTCATGATGCCGAGCAGAAATAAATAACCACTTCCTTTGCCTGCAGGCTATGCTCCTGCTAACGCAGCTGGGTGTGTGGTTTGTCTGCGTTTCTGCAAGGACATACTGCTGACACATGTTCAGCTTCTCCCTCAGATCGTTTATTTGCTACAGAGCAGCAATACAGACAGCCAGTTCCCAGCCTATTGCAATGCATAAGCTTATTCCCTCCCACATACATGGGTGTATTTGTCTCAGATACAAGAAGACTTCTGGTTATCCTGGCTTAAGTAGATTCACAGTTAAATTGCCATATTCTTTAAGAAAGAAAGAAACATCAAAACTTAAACTGACATGATTATAAATATCAATTTACTTTCTGTCAAGGATTTCACACTTTTTAGAATTATGAGTACATCATGGATTTTTTACAGAAAAAGGTGTTGATAGCAATTTATTTTGGCTGTGTGGCCAGGCAATAAAAAGTTGCAGTGTGCAACTTTGTACAGCAGACTATAAATATTAGGTATTCTGCACTATTTGAATGGGAATTTACCACGTCTAAAGCATCACATTTGATGTAAACAACAAATTCTTCCCAAGACTTGCTACAGGTGTCAAAAAATTAATTCACTGCTAGCACTCTTACAAGGACTTAGTTAATTAATTCACTGTTGCTATAGTTATAAGGGAAAGATTATGAATATCAAGCGGATTTTTTTTAACTGAACACAGTCTGAGGTGGTTGTTGTTTTCAAATGTTGATGGTAACCAGATCCAAGCGTGTAAGTTCTTGGACCTCCTCTCCTTGCAGAGGAGTCTTCCTTTTTCCACTGTGTTCCTTGGCAGAATTCTATTACGCAGCCTCCCAGACAGCATCAATAGAAAGTTGTGCTGCTTGGGATTCATACTAATGTGATTATCCTTGAATACTAATGAATACATGCTAATGTGATTGAAGTAGGGGTTAAAAAATCTTCTATACATGGCTTTTGTTTTATATATCTACATCCATTTGTCTCAGTAGTGAATTTATCATGACTGGCCTGACATGTCCTTTGCTGTAAATTAGTACAATGGCATTTGTACTTTGAAAAAAGGGCATGCTAACAGATGGATGAAAAGAAACTAAGTTTCCTTTGAATAAGTGAAAGTTTTTCAACCACTATTTAAAAACAGAGGAGGGCCAAGTTCTACCCTGGTTATGATCTTGCTGTATGATAATTTAAAAGGTCACAAGACTTCCCTCTCTCTGTGTGGAGGGAGAACTGTTTTCATACAGAATATTAGTCCTGAAAGAAAGAAGCATTCTATTTACACATATGGAAGAGGTTTCAAGTCTTCCAGGAAATCTGTTTGAAAACTATTTACAAAATTAGTATGCAAATTATATACTACACACTAAATGGTAATCTTGCAGTAGAGCACTCTGACAGGCATCTCACTATTTGAACTATGGTAGTCCAGTTAAAAAAGCAACACAAAAAGAAAACACAGCTGGATGTAATTGTATCCAAACACACTTATTATGTTAATGGGGGAATACGAATAAAATGAGATGTTGTCCAGCAAAGGTTTTCCCACAAAGACTCTGGAGTTATGTTAACAAAATATTCAAATAATGCACGCTTTTGTGTTTCTTTTAATTGAAAAGATATTTGATATTTATTCCTAAAAAGTGACAGATGAAGTGTGGCAGTACCAGAGAAACAATAAATCCTGTCTCCTATCAAGTAGAATTTTAATAAATATTCTTAGGTTGAGAATAAAACATGAATTGTGGCCCCAATTATGTTAGGTACTTCCAGTCATACAATTTAAATCAAATTATGAGAACGCTATTGTATAGTGGTAGTGATATATGTCTTAAACTCCTATTGTTACCCCAGGATGTCAGAGCAGTGATACACCCCTTAGTAGCCTTCCCTTTTGCACTGAAGCTTCCCGACGCTGCCCTGCCTGTACCTTCCTGCTGCTGCTCTCCTGCCAGCTGCCCTCCAGTCCCACCTTGGTCTGGTTTCTGCCCTCACAGCCTCTCGTGAGTGCCCCTGTGCAGCATGCCACAGCAGCTTTACTTCAGCGCGAGAGGTCTTAAACAGCCGGCTGTCAGTAAGAATCCCCTGGGTGCGGTGGGAGGTCGGTGCTGGGCTGGGGCTCTTTCCAACCAGCCAAAGCTTCACCCTTGTTTGATTCCTAAGAATCTCCCAGGATTTATTGTTGTGTCTCTCAAATCAATCTGCACAGCTTTGGCATGCAAGTTACCTGCGCAAGGTGCTGGATCTGTCCGTACGGATTTACTGCTGGTGGACTTGAAATCTTTGAAAATAAGAGGCTTCAGATTAAATCTGTGCCTTTTTTTTTTTTTTTTTGTGCACCCCCCCACCTTTTAGGACATCCTTTTAACAAACTAACTGAAAACTAAACAAATAACCGTTTGTGCCTTGTGTAAGTGTGCCTGCTGTTCAAATGGTTGCATGCAAGGGCTGTGGATACTCTTAAAAGCCCATGTCTTCTTCACTGCCAGCTGCCACCATAATCCTAAAGTAGATGCCCTGTTTTCTTTTTAACTTTATACCTCAGTATACTGCCCTGTGAAATTGCTTTCTGCCTTTAAATTGACCATCATGCAAATTTTGTATTTTTCAATCTGTCATTGTCTTTAAGAGCTACAATTTAATCTGACTTTAAAAACTGGCATTTTTGTTTACAAGCACAAAGTGTCCCTTCTCAAATCTAGCTCAGTAGGCCTGTCAGATGCAGTCTGGAGAATATTATCTAAGTGCCTGTTTTTGTTCTTAGTGATGAGGAACTGTTCATACTGCAAATGTAATACGAACAAACACACATTAATGTATTACTTTAAAATAAAAACTTATTTATTAATTTAAAAATCATACTGGATAAAAAAATCAGTATGTTATCTACAGTATTTTCCAGAGGCAAAATATCATTGGCCTGTTTAATGAAATGTATTTGTTTCTTGCCTGTATAAGAAATGTTTAGAATTTTTGTCTGTGAAGATTTACAGCTACATCAAGCATTTTGCATTATAATAAGAAGATAAAGCTTGTATCATTAGTGTGATAATAAGTCCAACTCGGTTGTCTGGCAAGTAGAGTCTACATCTAGTTACTCCCATTAAAAAAACCTAACCTGCTTTCACAAAAAATTTACTCCAGCTAGAGAGCAGATTTTGTACTTCCCACTCTCAGTGGCAAATGTAACCCCTCTAAAATCAATAGGTAAATCTCACCTGAGTGCATAACACTTATTATCTGTTGTTTCCAGCAACGCGTGAAGAACAGATTTCTGCAGAGTTCTAACATAGAGGGAAATGTCAAAGGAAGACGAGTTAGGAGAAACTAGAGGTCTTGTGTCCTTTGGGATGCTAGAGTTGTGAGAATGAATCTTTGAAGGCCAAATCAGATGTGTTGGGAGTCATTCTGTTTAGACTGTCAGTCTTCTGGTTAGGCTGCTGAAGCCTGCTGTGGATTTTTTTTTTCCTTTCCTTTTCTGAAGAAACAACTCCCATTTTGGCACAATTTTGCCATCTTTTTTAAAAAAATATCGTCTTTAAAAAAGTGACCCAAAAGCAGATGCTCCCAGACAAAATGGTGCTTGAGATGCTTTCTTAGCCTATACGTTATTTAGGTTTTAAGGACTATTGCAGAAGGACCTCAAGTTATTATATGACTCTGGTTATTGATTTTCTTAGCCTTACAAAACAAAGAGGAGTATCTCAATGAACATAGTACGGAGTTCCTTCACAGATTTTATCCTTGTGCTTTCCTTTCTTTCTCTTTTAATAGCCTGGATGTGTAAACACTACTGAAGTGGATATAAAAAAGTCTTCAAGGATGAGAAATCCACATAAAACGAGAAAGGTAAGCACTGTTATTACATCAAAAGCAGGAGGTGGAGGTAATTTATAGCACAAAGCTCCATAGTTTCTTAAAACGATTTTTCCTTACAGCTGCAAAGAACAAATACATTAATATATGTTGTTATTTCACAAGCTCTTAATTGAATTAGTATTAACAAATTTGCTGATACTAAATACATGCTATCACATAAGAAAGGCTTTGGAGAATATGAAAATAAAATTAGTTTTTGCATGCTTTGTTTATGTTGTTTAGTGATTGAATAAAGCATGTTAAAATATTATGGTCAGTAATTAAGGAAAAATAAATTGAAAATGCATTTTAAACTATAACAGCAGTTCTTCTTGTGCTGGTCTTAATGAAAAGAGTGTCTCTATTTTACAATTGTGCCCCAAATGGATGACCAGAAATTGTGGAGAAAATTAGCTTCATCTAAATTAGGATCCAGACATGAACATTGTAAGTTCTCTAGGGATGTATAGATGGACTGGAACAACACTTTCTTTCAAATCCTTTGTATCATAATAATGTAGATTGACTCCAACTTTAAAGTACTTCCTTTGAGGTATATTTTGTGTCAACCCGTGGAAAAATATGTTTTAAAAAGGAAAGTGGATTTAGAGAAAGTTTTAGCTTAGTTTATTTATGGTATTGAAAGGTCCAGATCAGTGTAACGTATGAAGCAGTAACTGCAAATTCAGGAGTCATCCAGATAGTCCATTGTGATAGTCAACCTTTCAGGATACTGTTTCTTCTTTTCCTGCTGGTCATCTCCACTTACTGTAATAGCTGCCTTTCAGTATCATCCCCCATGTTTACTATGCTGTTAATATAGAGACACAATAAAAGTGGATCCTGTGTTCTATGGCATTATGTAATTGTGCGGGTTTATTTTACACCATGGTGTAGAAGCACATTTTTGTCTGAGTGCATGGCTTATTTGAGGTTCCTTTAGAAAAAAAGTATTTTGGCTAACTTCTTGAGCACACTGTACTAAGACATCACAGTTACTATGGGTATGTGTAGAAAGCATTATCTGAAAGCAACTATCATTGTTCCATATTTTTGCGTAGTCTGTCTATGGCTTACAAAACGACATTCGAAGTCACAGCCCTACCCACACACCAGTACCAGAGACTAAGCCACCCACAGAAGATGAACTACACCAAGAGGTTTGAAAAATAACTGCAACCATGTACTTTTAAATTAACTTTTTAGGAAAGTAAAGTAGGTATTAAACCAAAATTATCATAACTGGGACATCATTCAGAACAGATTTAGCGAATGTTTTGTAAACCTTTTTCTCGTTTCAGGATATATGGATTTAGGTATGTAACTTCTGTTAAAACTAATGAGACAAAAGCTGACATTTTTTGTACCTTGCATTAAACAGTTAAAGGTAGTTAGCAGCAGGCCGGTTAGTGGGTTCTTTGCATAGCTAAGCCCATTAGCCCCTTTAGCGGTAGACAGCTTGCTCTTCCTTTCAACACCGCTTCGAGGTTTGGGGGTATACTTACCTCTCTGGGTATGCACGCATGGGTTCACACATTTATCTACTGTTGATGCTTCATTAATCTTTCCTGAGGTGTTAGAATTGGGAGAAGACAAATGTCTGAAGAATTAGTAGTTCTCTTCAAAAATCTAAAAGAAAGGCTAATTGGATTTCTGTTGATGAACCTTTAGGGAAAATGTTATATTGGTTCCTTTTTTTGTCTCTGCATGATCTTTTCTCTGTGATGGAAAGTTCCATTTATTTTAGAACTACACTAGTGAAATGTTGTCTTAACTCAGATATATTTCTCTTCTGTGCCCTAGGATAATTTAAGGTTAAATTACAGCCCTAATAAAAAAGTTATGGAAATAGAGTCAAGCAATGAATTACTCATAAAACTCTTTGACTTCCTTTCTTGCAGATTAAGCACTGGCAAATGCAATTAGACAGACATAGATTAAAAATGTCAAAAGTTGCAGAGAGGTAAGTATATTGTCACATCTTCTGGTTTTTCAATTAGACTGATAACTGTTGGGAAAATGTCAGGATGAAATAACTTCAAGGAAAGAGAAACATGGGAGCTCAGGTGTCATAGAAAGAACTGATGAGAGTTTACTTAAGTAGGAGGTACGCAGTTCTTTTATTGATAAAAGATGGCCCAGATATTCCGTGACACATTTCTAATAAACCCAAGAGTCACTGAAAGAACCTCTGACCAAGGGGTGACAGGTTTCACCTTGCATTGGCAGAGAGGGTAAACAGAAATAAGGCTGGGTTTACTGTTTTGATATTTCAAAAGGGCAATCACTGATAAAGCAAGGGAACTGATCGGCAGAGCTGGCTGGGTGAGGAGCTCTGTGCTTGAATGAAGTGAATCTGAGCTTACTTTGGGTCAGAGGATGTAAAACTAGTGGGAATCTGTGCATGTGTGTCTACTTATACATGTATATGTATGCATACACATACAAACACATATAAATGTATATTTATAAAGAGAACATATTAAGAATTTGTGTTTGCTGACCAGTAAAAATGGAATACAGACTAAATATAATAGAAATAGGAACGCAAATAAAGAATATTTGTCCTCACTTGTCAATAATTTTTCAATAATTATAAGGCAAAAGGAAACAGAAAGCAAGAATAAGGGCATGGGAGATGTAAATTACCATAATAAAAATGAAGTTTTTAATGTGCTCGGTTGAGTCAGACCAATTCATAAATATGGAAGAATTTAGAAAAAAAAATTGGAGTTTTTTGGAAAACAATAAACTTGGGAGTAGTGCCATTTGATTAGGAAATAATAAAAATATTAACTGTATTTAAAACAGGAAAATTGGAGTCCTAGCAGCTGCAGGGCTAATAAATATGACCTGAATAGCATGCAGTGTTTTAGGACAGATTTTAAAGGAACTGATAATTAAAACCATAGGGGTATAAAACATGTTCCTTTATGAAAGCAAATGTGCATGGAAGAGGTTGCGTGATTTAATTTATTAGTGCCTAAAGGGGCCCTAAAAGGAGCTATGTGGAAGTATTAGGGAAGTTCGTAGTTTATTTTATTTCAGCTCTTGGTAAGACCTGAACCACCCCTCCTTCTTCAGGGGTCCACTTTTAAAAGGCTTGAGCAAACTCATTTTAGCCTGAGCTTGTGGCTGAGTTCTGCGTGTGTGCACACCCGGTTACCATGGTTTACTGATGCAAGGTAACTTAACTGGGCTAACCTGATCAGGTTTCCTCACCTCCTGACATGAGGATGTTTGGTGCTTTTGTTTTTCTAGTCTATTAGCTTATACAGAGCAGTATTTGGAATATGATCCTTTTCTTGTGCCCCCTGATCCCTCAAACCCTTGGATATCAGATGACACCACCTTCTGGGAACTGGAGGCAAGGTATATAATTTTATTTCTTCTTTTGGGACAAGGGGGTGTATCAGGCTTTTCCTGAAATGTGAAGATTTCAGACAGAGGTATTGCAGGAAAATACTGAGGCAGAAGGGTAATGCAGTATCTTTTTGTTTTTTCCACCTTTACATTTTCGTAAGATGGGAAGAGCTATAGATTAAAAAATCTGTATAAAAAGTTACAGTAACCAGTTTCCAGGGTTCCAGTGTGAGGAAAAAAGATACCTTTTAAAATCTGATAACATTTCCTAGTTGGAAGTCCTTATTTGTTGGTGTAAATGCATGCATCCTGTGTAGGTACTAACAGCCTGGTTAATCATCTCTGAACATTACACAGATGTGAGCAATCTAGAAGGTGAGAAATCTGAGGCTGAAATTTAGGACTTATTCTAAATTATGAACACAGAGTATTAGAATACCGAAGTATTGCTGATTGTAGCTTCTGTTGTTTTTCCTACTATAGCAAAGAGCCAGGACAGCAGAGGGTGAAACGATGGGGGTTTGGCATGGATGAAGCTTTGAAAGACCCTGTGGGAAGAGAGCAGTTTCTCAAATTCCTGGAGTCAGAATTCAGTTCAGAAAATTTAAGGTAAATGAGAGGGATTTTATTTTTTAGTAGCTTGTATGATACATTGGGTTTTGTCATTTGTCTGATACCTTTTGTTTCATTTTTTTACCCCTTGAAAAATTTTTCTGTGTCTTACCTTTCAGAATCCATTCATGCAGATTACTGCCTGCTCCCGTATTCAGGCTGTGGGAAAGATTCATATACTTAGCAGAGACTCATGTGAAGCATATTTTCTCATTCATGTCCAACTTTCAGTCAAACTACCCATGTAAGAGCTTTTCTCTCAGCTCATTTTATTGAAGCAGTTTAAAATATTGACCCATTCAAAGCCTGTTCAGTATCTTTTAAGTCCAAGATTATGAGAACAGTAAAATTAAAAATGAGAGTTTGTTAAAAAAAAAAAAATGGATTTAAAGGTAAAATTCACAGACTTTCACTGTTGGTCAGGTTTCTGGGGATGACCGGGCTTTTGAAAATCTCCACCAAGATTCTAGTACTCGAGGATCTGACACAACAGAAGCAGCAGACAGCTTGATCTCAAATTCCTCACTAATTTCAAAATGGAAAGGTGTTACTAGTGTATGATGCTTAAATATTTTTTAAAAGTATATATACAGAGTTACTTTTAAGTGAGGGAGAACAATTACTTTTCCACCTTCCTGTCAGATGTTATCTGTATCAATTCCCATTCATGAATAACATAAGGAGTGTAAAATCCTATTTGCACACATTCTAGAACTCAGAAAAATCCTAAACTACTTTTTTGTCTGTGCCAGTTCTCACTCTGAAAAGGTGTGGCATAGCCATTCGTACTAGAGTTATGTTTATGTGGCCTCTTACAAGAAGCGTTTAGCATTCTGTGGTGTTGACTCATAAATGCAGAGTAATTGCACAGACCTCCTTGTTGTTAACCGAAGTTGGTCGGCAGAATAATTGGATATGGGCTTCACTATGTTGCTGACCATGTACATATTCAAACATTGAATTTTTCGTCACAGATGTATATTGGATACTGTAGACATCATGATATTTTCCAACTGATTTGTTTGCTGTTACCCCTGTCTAAGTATGTCCTGACCTGTATGTGTGTTGATAACTTCATTAGTGATGGATATAGATTTTTTCTAATTAGAACATCCAAATGGTGAAATGAAACTTTACAAATCAGAATGATACCAAGAAAAGGAAAGGTAATTTTTTGTATGTAAAGAGCATCCTGGTAATTCCTTATGCAGAGCAGCTGTTCAAACATGAACCTATTCAGCCTGGTGTGTGCTGCAGTTTCTTTGCTTTTCTGTGATTAATTTGTCTCTCTGCCAACTAGACTGTTACCCACATAATCCCTAGCTCGCTCTTCTAATCCTATTTACAACACTAACCACAGGCAAACTGCAAGTGACTGGTCCAGAAAAACTCCCTAGAGAAATGTGTTCAGAGCTGATTCCTTGACATGCCATCTACTCTTCTGTCTCTCTCTCTAGATTCTTATGTTGGCATTATAAAATATAACATCTGAGCAACGGTGAATATGAGCTTAAAGGCTGTCCCTGGGAAGGATCAGCCAGGGGATCAAGCTTGCACTGAAAAGAGGCTTTCTGTGATGATTAAATGAAGGAAAACTGCCTCACAAGCTCAGCATTATGTTTATGAATTCTCAAACTGTAGGGAATTTTTTTTCTGTAGCGAAATCAATCCGCTGTTAGGCTCAGACAGTAAAGTCAGGTTAGAAAGCATGAATTAATAAAGCTTGTTGTGTATGGGAGTCAAAATATTATAGATCTCAGTAACAGAAATTAAAAGCTCGATGGTTTCAAGCATTACTGCTGAATAAACCTTAAATTTAAAAGACCACCAATTTCTTTGCCTACCTGTTAACCCCAGTTTGGCAATTTGTTCTTTGGAAGTGGGTTTTTTTTCAGATTTTTTGAGCCGATTTTTGAGAACTGGCTGAATGACAGAACTCAGAGGGTTGTCATCAGCAGCGCTGAGTCTAGTTGGAGACTGGTAACTAGTGGTGTCCCCCAGGGGTCAGTACTGGGCCCAGTCTTGTTTAACTTCTTCATCAACAACCTGGATGAAGAGTTAGAATGTACCCTCAGCAAGTTTGCTGACGACACAAAGCTGGGAGGAGTGATGGATACACCGGAAGACTGTGCTGCCATTCAGTGAGACCTGGACAGGCTGGAAAGTTGGGCAGAGAGGAACCTGATGAGGTTCAACAAGGGCAAATGCAGGGTCCTGCACCTGGGGAGGAAAAACTCCATGCACCAGTACAGGCTTGGGGCGGAGCTGCTGGAGAGCAGCTCTGTGGAGAGGGACCTGGGTGTCCTGGTGGACGACAGGTAGACCATG